ACCTCGTCCACGATCTCCGCACTAGGCACAGGAAAGTGGCCGTCTAGGGCAGGAGGGCTGCCAGCCTGGCCACCCAGGACCAGGTGTGCATGAAAATCAAGGGGGTCCACTGAGACCCCCGACACTGAGCCCTGAGCTTACAATGGCCGTCCTGGGTCAGACCAAAGGTCCATCTAGCCCAGTAGCCTGTCTGCCGACAGCGGCCAACCCTAGGGACCCTGGAGGGGATGGACCGAAGACAGTGACCAAGCCATTTGTCTCGTGCCATCCCTCTCCAGCCTTCCACAAACTTTGGGCAGGGACACCACTCCTACCCTCTGGCTAATAGGACTCCATGGACCCAACCTCCATGACTTGATCTCACTTCCCTTTAAACTCTGTTCTAGTTGTAGCCTTCACAGCCTCCTGCAGCAAGGAGTTCCGCAGGTTAACTATTTGCTTTGGGAAGAAGAACAACTTTCTCTTACTAGTTTCAAGCCTGCTACCCATTCCTTTCCTTTGGTGTCCTCTAGTCCTTCTTTATGGGAACTCATGAAGAACTTTTCTGAATGCACCCTCTCCACCCAACCCCTGCTTTTAGAGACCTCTATCCTGTCCCCCCTCCGTCTCCTCTTTTCTAAGCTGAACAGTCCCAGTCTCTGTAGCCTCTCTTCATCTGGGACCTGTTCCCAACCCCTGATCATGTTAGTTGCCCTCCCTTCTCCCAGCCTTTCTCTTCCCCTCTCCCACCTCCTTTTCCCAGTCTCCCCCAGTTTTTTTCAATAAAGACAGAGTCAATGTTGGAAGAAACGTTATCTTTATTTTGTACATCAATAAGAAGGGGGGCTAGGGAAGGGTAAGTGGAAGGAGGTGAGGGAGGAATGGGGTACGAGCCCCCGATGGGGAGGACTGGGCTGGCTCTGCGGGCTTCTGGGGGTGGAAGCTCTCCTGCAGCCCCCCGATTGCCCCCTCTCCCCAGATGGCAGCCTGCGGCAAGTGCAGCCGGGCTGATGGCCGAGTGGTGTGATGTGCCCAGTGTGGGTACTCCGGCACTCCAAGCCAGGACTGGTTTGCAAGCGGGGCACCCCTTAGAACTGTCTGTCCAGGGTGGGGGTCAGGTGGAAGAGGTGGGGGCATGGGGGTTAGCCTCTTTGAAAAGGGGCTCCACCTGCTGCCCATGATAGTTATCCTGTGTTCAACCCATCTTTTTCTTTCTAGTCTGAAAGACCAGATCAACCAGTTTTTGTTTGCTTGACCTTCTGTGTTGTTTAAGGCAACAAAGGGAGCTAGTATGAGACCGAGTAAGAACTCAGAAGCTCCTGGATCGTGATCCTTTTTTCAGGTCCCCTTCTCTCAAACATTACCGCATGTCTCTCTCATCTGCCATAGGTTGAAATATACCGAACGGAAGTAAGTGACTTGGAAGAATCTGCTCAGCTACTAGAAGAAGAAAATATATATATGATAAAGAGCCTGTTTAACTGCAGACTTAAGAACCTTAAAGTATCCAGGTAAGAATGGTTCTACTTACAGATGTAGTCCCAGATCCTCAAAGGTATTTAGTTCCTACCTTCAGTGAGCATTTGAATCCTAAATGATTCTGAGACCAGAGGTGACTTGTCAGGGGCAACCCATGGGGCCACCTGTCACATCACCCCCCAGCCTAGGGAAGGGCTCGAGCAACCCCACCCAGGCCCTTCCTTTCCCTGCCTCTGCTCCACCTGCACCAGCTCACCTGCTAGTCCCTCATTGGCTGCTGGCTCGGCCCTTCCCACCCAAGCTGTGGGGAGCATGTAACCCCTTGTGCCCCACCTACATGCCACCCCGTCTGAGAATCTGGACCCTAGAAACTACTTCTGCTGCCTCCACAGTCAATCAGTGTCCCTGGGCAGCAGAACCAATACAGCTTTACCATTCAAAGGAGACAGGAATAAGGGTGTTGGGGGCATGATGTGAAGCTCTGTTCACTAGCACATAGGGATCGGGCTGTGGGGGTGGCAGAGCTGGATTATCTCCTGCTGTACAGAGTCTCCCATTCACTCCCCTTCTTTCCCCCAGGCTCACTCTTTTAGGGCTGCTATCCCATGGAGTTGGGAGGATGAATTCCTCCTTCCTGCCACCTCTCTCTTGTATCAAGCTGTGGAGGCTGGACACTAGCATATGGCTCTACCCCTTATTGTTAGTTCAAATATTTGAGAGCATGAAGGGTAACTTGCTAATTCAGTTTTTTCAGTCCCAAGTACTAAGCAGAACTAAGGAAGAGATTCCTGTATAGCCCTGTAAGAGTACATTGCACAGCATGATGTTCTTGTTCTTTCACATCTAACGGAGCTAATTTGTTTCTCACAAGGGGATTGATTGAGCACATGTGATATCATAACCCCTGGTGGTACATGCTATGTTTATCACTCCTCTCTTTACTGTCACTTTCCCGTAATTATAGCTCTGTTGTAGCAGTCACAACTTAACACAAAAGGGGGTCTTTAGCTCTCCTTGTTAGAAGAACCTTGGACTGCTGCTAAGTGCAGACTGTCAGCTGCAGTCTAGACCAGCGTTTTCCGTGGATGGGGCCCCGGGAAAAAAATACCGGGCCTCAGCATGGCTGCCGGTAGGGGAGCAAAGCGGGGTGGGCTGGGAGGAGGTGGCGGCGGGGGAAGGAAGAACCAGTTGCCGGGCTGAAGGGTTGGGAGCAGCCGGGCTGTCCTGTGAAGATCAGGGCAGGCAGGTGGGCGGTCGGTGGAAGCAGGGTTAGGGGAAGTAGGGCTGTCCCGTGGAGATCCAGGCGGGCGGGCGGCAGAAGCAGGGTTGGAGGCAACGGGGCTGTCCCGTGGAGATGGGGGGAGGAGGAGGCGAGCGGG